ACGGTCACTCTTTTAAACGCCTTTGGTCGGAACAAAACAAATGCTGTATTGTTGAAAGTTGGAGCTGCTATCGCAAATGAGGGAAATCTTTTGTAAGTAAAGAGGTTCAGCAGCTATTTCATAATGATGGGGCAACCCTGGGTAAACAGCTGACATGTTTTTATTATTATTTCTTCACTCTGACCTCAAAATAAGCTTTTGACTAGACTCGTCCTTTCACAAAATTCTTAGTCGAATTGGTAAAATTGGTTAATCTGGACCATGTATTGTTACAAGAATACAGACGGCATACCTCAGTGAATTGAGCAATGACACGTGCAAATATCTCCAGGGGCGTGTCCAAAATATGATGAGATTGATCCACTCAGACATTGACAGCAGAATTAATACCTGGGTTTGCCGAAGTAGGCCCTGTTTGTAATATTGTTATACCCCGTGGCAATTTGTTGTCATTTATTTTTCTTTCGGGCATCAAATGAAGTGAATACACCAGCTCCTCTCTATGCCCATTACGAGCCACCCAAATGTTAACGCTAGATAAGAAGTTTCTTTTGTATGTTTGTTTAATTTAATTTCTGCTATTTTCAACATTATAGAAAATACCTTTAAAAGAAACACATAGTTGACACAATGCAGGAGACCGCATCTTACGCTAGTTATATCACTGGACAAGCAAAGTCATTGATACTGGCGTACTGATGGTGGTGGTGGTGGTGACAGTGAATTGGGGGGGGGGGGGTAACAAGGCGGTGAAGCACAGAATCAGAGGGATAACATAACCTCTCCGACCCCCCCCCCCCCCGACCCCCACCCACTTCCTAGTGAGCAATCACTGAAGGAGGATGCATTCTAAAATGACTTGTTTTCAGTTCTGGATTGAAGAAAAATGTACCCAATATTTTGTATTCTTCTATTTTCAAATCATGATACCTTAAAGGTACTATGTCCCTTTTGCAGGCCAAACAAATTAAAAGGTTAAATTCTAATGGCATTTGAAAGATAATACTAAGTTAGAACTCCCCTTAAAAAAATGTCTTCAAGTGGGAAAAAAACGACTATTAGTTGTCAAATCGACTTAGGAGCTATAGAGCCAATAAGTAATAGTTTTGATTTTCAGACCATTGTACCGCATGGTCGTACGTTTTATGCTGCGCAAAGATTCAATCAGTTTAATTTCGGCCATTACAAGAAGTGGGTTATTGTAGTAGACAAATCCTTTACAGCTCATTTTATGTATGGTATTACCAAAGAAGAAGAAAAAACCAGTCAGTCACTCAATACTGACAATAGTGTCTAACAGTGAAGTTTAGCGAGTAAACGAGTTTTCTTGCATAATTTGAATATGAGGACACTGCTAACGTTTAAATTTCACAGAATAGGACATACATGACATATTCATGATTCCTGCAAAGTTCTACAGAATTTGAGGTTGGCTGCAAAAGGGACATAGTATCTTTAACTTGCAGAAAGCATTAAAATATCCGGAAATATATTGAGTTATAACATTTAATTTGCTTCATTTATACACATGTATAATGGTTTATTTGTGGTCAATTTGAGTGCCGGAAATTCGGACTTCGCCACGTATATAGATCACCTGCGAATTTCATACAACTACAGATACCACTAGCAAAATGGTTTTGCTATTGGCAAATAAAGTTCTTTCCAAAATAAGATTCATTCAAATGTCTGCTTTTGTGTCAAATGGCGTGGGAAAAAGTCAATTGCATTTGATGAATGGTATCCCGTTGACGCACCTATCCCTCTACAATTAACAATAAGCCTATATGTGTGCTATTGACCTAGAGGCCGTTTGAAAAGTCTCCTTAAGATGTACATAAAGTTTAATCTATCTATTGAATGATATATTTTTAAAAAGGATTTCTTTTGCTATGGTGTAAGTGCCAATGATCGATCTACATCGCAGTATGACGTGATTCAAAGTCAGCAGCAGTATTTAGCCAAAAGCCTTTGAAAAGAGAGGCCCACGAGATAACTGATTTTCTTTTTGGGGTGTCTTCATACAATATGGAACCATGCAATTATGTAGTGGATGTGTCGGGAATAGATTACTTAATTCAATTGACGCTCAATCTTAGGGTTGAGGGTTCGATTCATCCATGATTCAACAACGTGTGCCATCTCTACTTCATGGGGAGTATTCATACTATAATTATAGTCACTGTGAGGGTATATAGCAATATTAACACTTTTGTCATCCTACCGGGTCCCCATTACTTTCTCCCCTGGGTATGGAGTGGCAAAAGTAGAGTAATGCATTGCCAAAAGACATTAGTGCCGTGTCGGGGATCGAACCCACGACCTTTGCAGGTGACACTGCGGTGGATGCGTGGGGCGTGGCGCATGTGAATGTGTTTGCGTGCCTTGGGGCTCTCTGGGAGCAGACGTGCATGGATTTGAATGCATGTTGGAAACTTTGGATTGTGTCTGGGCTACGGCCTACATATTATTGTATATTACTGTATCATGATTGTTCATGTCTACTGTCTCACTCGAGTGACCTCGATCAATGACCTCGTTTAATGACCTCAATATTTTAAAGTGACTATCGTGACATTTATTTGGTAACAAATTAATTTGTTTGCTGTATTTGATATTTTTGCTTGTTTCACTTTGTATATCATCTTATGTTAAGGCCTTCTTGCCCACCTATTATTATTGTTACGTCCTTCACCATTGCAACCACTCCAATCAAATGTTAGTTTTATTTATGGGAACCTATAATCTACAAGCTGAGTTTTTCAATAGGTACCTCACATTTCACCCTGTATAACCTTCTTTTCAATACAATTAATTTCGACGTGTTTTCAAAGAATTGATTATATAATGTGACACTTTTAGTATATTTCATATTATGTTCTAATTTTGTCACTTATGTGAATTCTTTTTTTGTGAAATGTTAAACAAAATAAACTTGAACTTGAAGTCATTGACAATTGCTTAAACCAATCGACTCAACACCTCTACTAAGAATACCCCTCTCTCATTATACTTCATTCAAGTTATCCACCAGTATTGTTTGGTTTCTTTTCAGTTTGTACAATTTTTGTTTGTTTTTTGTTTTAATGATAAACAAACAAATGTTAAAAATGTAACAGGTCTAAAGATCTTCGTAATAAATTTAAATGAGAAAAGGAAGTCCTTACAAAATTAATTGACATGTGATGTTCTCTTTTATAACATTTACACAGGTATTCACTACATGTTATCCTCACAGATAAATCGACTGTTTTGAATGTTACAAATGAAAGATATTGTCCTAATGGCGGACTAATGGATATTGATAAGCACTCAGAATGAGACAGGAGAGCCGAGACTGTATTTGTTTCCTGGTGGCATGGTGGTAGAGTCGCTGCCCCGCAAGCGCTAGATGGCACGTTCAAATCCCACTGGTTCCAATATGTTTTCTCTGTCTTGTTTTTCAAGATCGAGTACGCGATTTTTATCAACTGGGTGCAAGCCTAACATTTATTTGAACAAATATACTACGTTTAATGCGTATGCGAAAAACCCGAACATAAATCATGAAATCCGTTAAAAGGGAAGAACAAATCTCTATACTATTCAAGGTAAATGAACACAGATCAAAACAATATATAATAATGTTATTGATGCCATATCCTTTTTACATACCTGAATGTAACCTTAAAGTAAATACAAAGAGCAATTTATGGCGATACCCCTCCATAAATACATTACATTCATATAAAGAATTTCTATCGAATATATTTACGACCTGGGTATATAAATTCTTTAAGGTGTTTGCTTTATTGGAAAGCGCCAGTATTTGTTTTATGGATCTACCTGTTCAAACGGTAAAGACGGGGTATAGATCATATTTCAAAATGTGACGTCAATAACATGTCTAGTAATATCGTCTGGCATTATATACAACATAGGCTGCTTTCCTTTTTAAAGTTGATCTTGTGATTGCCATTATTTGGTTAACGTATGTTTTTATATTTTTTCTTATCAATTACTTGACAAAGTATATTCCCTCCATAAAATAATGTTGATAGGTGAATTTATATGAGTAAGAGCTGTGCGAGTTTAATATATTAAGTTCCAGAAGATTGTTTTAAGGTTGGAGGTGGGGAACTTTATGGGGGCTTGCAGATTATTTATTTATTTTCTACATGTGCATCGCTTCAATTCAATTATAAGCAAGACAAATTCGAAGAGGGTGAAAAACAAGGAGGGTGGCTTCTCTAGAATCGCCCTTTTTCGTATAAATCGAAATATACATTTAATACATACAGTCTTCAGGAAAATTTCGAGCAGTGGTCAATTTTCACGGGCCAGTTCGCACACACCGGCGTATATTGTTCGAAAAGAACGATATCGCATATAAATCTAAAGAAATTTTCATTGTATTTGACCTAGTTATCTGTGAATATCCTTTAACGAAAAACCAGAATTAATAAGAGTTGAAACTTTCAGCCATGAATCAAAATGACGTGTTTCGGCTAACTTGAAATTTGCTATTCTGTAACAGGTCGAAAATCATAGGCATATGGAATTAACGTTTTAGTAAATAACAAGCCTTGAGATACTCATATTTCATTTGGAAAGACAAAAAAATACTTGTTTCCTTAAAACAGTAGAAATGAGGAATTTAATCAGGATATGAAGTTTCGTACTAATAATCAATTGTTTATTGATTTCTCGATAATTTACCATTTTATTTTCGTTTTGTTTTTAGATATTTCCATATGTTTCACGATTATGGTTGTTGATAATGCTGTTAATATTTCAAAGGTTTGTTATCACATGCAAAGACCTTCCGAAAAGAACTCTGTTTTGGCTGGTTATGAGTGTTTGGTCGTGGATGAATAACACAATTAATACTCCCTCGCAATCCGCCCCCCCCCCTCTCAAATAAAAATACAAATTACAACCGACGGGCTCTAAATATTCATCTCCATAATAGATAAACTTGTAGGATAATCTCAAAAGATAGACAGTGTAATAAAACTTACATGCAGGGGTCAACAGCAATAGCAAGAGTGCCACGGTCAATAGTAAAAGCTCCTTCCTGCAGCCCATCTTGAACGAGTTCCTTTCACCTGCTACCGATAAAACTAGTTTTGTACTCATCCGACATTCCAGAGAAAATATATTTCAGAAAATATCCACTTTCCTCTCCCAAGGCTACCGATTATGTCCTGTACCGGTAAAAAGTTCTCAAGTTTAATTCGCCGGCAATAGAAGCGAAAACACAATGGATATTGGCGTTGTACTAGTAGCAACTTAAGACGGGGGCAAAACTGTTCAACCCACGTTGGTACCTGTCGCACAAGTGACTGTAGGAAGCGCCCTGTCCGGGGTATTATACATGTAACATCGGGTGGGGGCGGGTGGAGTCGGACGGTAATGAAAAGGACGTGTACGATAAAAGTAGACAATATCAACAAGGTGAAATCGACGGCATGGTAGGCCTATTATGCAAATATTTAAAAACTAACCATTTGATTTCTTTGGGAAGTTGCTCGTGTATGTGATGTAAGAACTTTAGGTTTCGTACTGCATGAGGAATTGTTTTACAATGCTTAAACGATGACATCATAGATATCGCTGATTACACCACCTTTTAAGATCATTATGAGGATGAACATTTTTTTTCTTATCAACGTCAACTCTTACTTTTACTGCCATATAATAAGAAAAGTCTCATGAAAATAATTATGATATTACGTAATTATTATTTTATCGTGTCAATTTTTGTTACCATTAATAATTGTTGTACTACGATTCCCTTTCAGAATGATGTTGGTCTGTTGGTGTTTAGCTTTATTTCTTTTTGGGGGAGGGGGGGGGGTTGTGTAATATTTGTTTTAAGGCTTTTACTTTTGTCATGCAATATTGAACTTCTGGGAATTCTGATAAACTAAACATTATTACAAAAACATGAGCTATGAAAGAAGTGGCAATTGTTTATGGTGTGTTCGGTTTTAGTAAGTGTATTTTTGTGTAACATTTGTTTTGAGGCTTTTACTTTTGTCATGCAATATTGAACTTCTGGGAATTCTGATAAAACTAAACATTATTACAAGAACATGAGCTATGAAAGAAGTGTTAATTGTTTATGGTGTGTTCGGTTTTAGTAAGTGTATTTTTCTCGTGAAAACTCTACTTAAACATAAAGTACCAGTGGTGTCGGCGGGGGAATTGGATCAATGGGATATTTAACCCCTGCAAATCACGACGCCGCCTGTATTAGGGTTCATGCAGTGGTATGCTTCGGGTCGACGTGTCTCCCCCCCCCCCCCCCCCCTCCCTTCCCTTCCTTCCCACCCCCGCACATTCCCGGGTGCGGATGATGCCACTAACACGGAGACAGAACTCGGCAGAGGCTCGGTGAATATGTTTGCCTCTTCAGTTTCCACAAAGAATGGAAGGCATACGTAGTCCTTTTCATGCCCAGTGAAGAGAATGTTTGCGAGAGTCGTTGATTAAACATGCGACCGACAAATTGAAGGACCTGTAATACTTATGGTATTTTCGGGGCTTTTCCATCTCAATGGTATTCCGTTTTGTTCGAAAGAGAATGGATAATGGCTCTCGCGTTGATTGCAACAGTACTATCATTAATGTCAATATGAAGGAGGCTGAAAAGTTATCCTTCGTAGCGCGGCCTAGTGCACCTTGAATCGTTGAAGTGAGGTTTCTGAATAAGGCTTGACAGAGGCGATATAGAATTAACCAAGTGGGATCTGCCTATGAGCACAAATTGCGCAAAGTAAGTCTAAGATGATGGAAATGGAGAAAGCGGGCACTCACCACGTACAATTTCTATGAATGATAACCAATAGATACCACTCTCCTCCTGTAACAATTACCACGCCCTGACAGCCACTTTCACACTGCCGAATAATCCGAACCCCCCCCCCCCCCCCACCCCCGGAAAATAAATCCCCAAACCTCGGACAACTATATCCCACCAGTAAAACCAACCCTGACAATTGCACCTTCTTTTTTTATACCAACCCCAAGACAACTATAGGCCTTCTTATACCTTTGTAACATTATGGCTGAATTAGGACCTTACTAACCAGTCATATCTACAAGATCTGTAATAATTATATGTGGCTTTAGTTGCCCGAGGGGTGGGGAGAATTGTCTTTGGGTAGTTTTTGTAGTTTGATTTTAAAAGGGGACAACTAGCTATCCTATCTAAGGGTAGTAGTTGTATATAGCTTTATTTATTAATATTTGGTAAGGTGGCCGTGGGATTTCGCACAGTTTAATGTCGATAAAAGTAACCAGTATTGATTAAGGAGGAACTATCCTCTCCCAGCTCGGAGGTTGATTTTGCAATCTTACACAGGTCTTTATGTTCTACTCCCAGGTGGTTCTCGGCTCCCCCGGCCTCTCGGTATAGTACCTTCTACTTTTCCGACGTACAATTAACAAATCTTACAAGAGAGTCTAATATCTTTTAACTTGACCAAACTAGTATGCCTTCCATTCGTTAATTACTATTCCCATAAGGGTATTTTGCTTAATCCCTGCATAATGCAATGTTTCCTTGTTTGTTTATTTTCGAATCTTTGCATGATACTCTTATCTGATTCTCGTAACAAAATATGTCGATTTTCCTCGACCATCCATTTGCTGCTCATCTGACATTTAGTGCACTAGATCTATCAGGGCGGGTCGACAATAACATAAGTGGAAGGGACTTGTCAATATTTGACCAAGGCGACCAAGGCACATGAAAAAGAATTCTTTGAGTAGGGGCACCTCGATTGGCTATTGTCCGTTGACCTTTTTGTCTGAATGGACTATTCGTCCTTATCTTAATATTCTAGAAAGATAAGGCACTTTGTTTTTTGTTTTTTTAGTATCACAATAGCCGTCCTGATTACCGAAAAACAATATTTAAATGTCAGTTAAGATCTTTTTGGCATTTTTTTATTTGTTTATTTTTGATTTGTTTATTAACCATATACACGTATTTAACAGAGCATGTCATATTAAAAGTGTATGACATCAAAATAAATCTAGTAAATGAAAAGGTCGTTTTGAAGCACGTCAATGAGGGTAGTGAATTATATTTATTCATTATATATATATATCATATTTATTTATTCGATTATATTTATCGGTCCTATGTGTAGAAAACAAATTATATGTGTACATGTATTTGATTTGGAAACAGCGTAACTTTACGAGGTGCTTTTTTTACAGATGGTGTAGAAAAAATCATGAGCATATAAACATTGGTGTTTAAAATTGGAGAATGCAACATGTATAACACAGAATATGAAATATAAAGCGAATAAAACGAAATTGAAATAATCAATTCCCAAATCTACAAGCATATTTTGACCTGAAATAAAATATCAACTCGTAGAAAAACAGTATGAAAAAGTTTTTTTCAAATGAAAATGCATATTTTACCTATATGACAAAAGTTTGGAATTATGCTGTTCGTTCGGATTACAGTGTACCATTGATGTTAAATTGCGTTGGTTCCAATATAAGGTTGTGCTGCGTATACTATTTACAAATGACTTGCTATTTAAATTGAATCTGGTCCCAAGGAAAGGCTGTACCTTTTGTAACGACCAAATCGAAACAGTTGTATATTTAAAATGTGAGTGTAGGCATGTTAATAATATGTGGGATAGGTTTACAGGACTGGAACTTGATGAAACTGGCAAGAGATTAAAATTTTCACCTCAAAATAAATATTTGGATATACAGGTATAGTAACATTGTACTTAACTGTATCTTGATTATAATATGACAAACGATATATAATTGTAAAATAAAAAGTATGATTCCTGATTTCGGTATTATCAAAGCATCTGTACTAAACTGTTATTACGATGAAAAATATATTTCAAACTTGAACTTTTAAAAAAGTGGTTTCGGTTGAAAAATCTTGTTATCAAGTGATTTTCATATGCATATGTTTGTATTATCAGCCTGACAGTAGTTCATTGATTTCATTGATATCACTGTATATTTGATTGCATATTGTAAACCGCTAGTAAGAGTAATTTATGTTCAATTACATATTTCATGCTAATTTAAGAATCAATAAAATCCCTGTGGAGGGAACAAATATACATTTAAAAAATGATATCACTTTTCTCTCACTCTCTCTATTCATTCTCCCTCTCTCTCTCTCTCTCTTTCTCTTCTTTTTCTTCTTCTTCTTCTACTACTTCTCCTTCCTCCCCTCTCTCTTTCTGTTCTTCCTCTCCTCTTTCTCCCCCACTCTATTTCTTTCTTGCTTTCACTCTCTTTCTTACCCTCCCATCTCTCTCATCTTTTCTTCTATATCTTTACTTTCGCTCTCGTCCCCCCCCCCCCTCTCTCTCTCTCTCTCTCTCTCTCTTCCTGTTTTATCTAAGTGTTCCTTGGATGAGAGAGAGAGAGAGAGAGAGAGCCGTCATTTGCTTGGCGCAGGACTGCGTCAACGATGCGTCATCTGAGAGTGAAATCATAATTATGGTCAGTGCAAACTGAACAGTACAGTCATTGCCTGGACTCATTGACGCATGCATGAATTCACTTTTGTAACGCACGTAATAACGCAGTCGAAATTAGGCCTCGTGTGCCAATTATTGCAGTAAAATATAAAACAGGCAAGTCAATTTTGCGCCATCACGGCAACATGAGAGTAACTTTGTCAAGAAGTATGATGAACTATGACCAACTTACCAAGTACATTCTTGCTACTTCAAATTTACATTGTGCAAACTTTACTTTGTGTAATATTTTGAGTAGCCTATATACATTCCTTGCCCTCTTATTGGCGAGTTGAATGTTTATTTGGAAACTGCGCCCATTGTTCAAACTTCCATTTTAACCCAATCAATTAAGATGCCTAACCGTCGGAGAGAGTTGCGTTTTCGCTGTTGAACAGGTATAATGCTTGTCAGGCGCGTA